TGAAAGTACTTCTAATAATAAATTACCCATTTAAATTTTCCATCTCTTTAACAAAAGATATATGTCCTTTATCTTTTGCCAACTTTTTTGGAAATATGTACTACAAATGTCTTTGAAATTAAGTTCATGATCTTAAACAGAACTTGGTACTCTTTTTAGATTTTCTGACATAGTAATGCAGTTTTGATTATCATTTTTAAACTTAATACAATGAATATACTTTATTGATAATGTTATGAAAATGCAGACATGAAAATAAAATAACTACTTATAAAATAATGCATGACATTTTATAATATTGAGTGGATATTGTTTGATATTTACATTTGAATTTAAAGAGAATTTTGTCTCTGTCTTTTGTCAGTGCAGAAATGTCATTTGTAGAACAGAATTCCTAACTTGTTCTTGAACAGGAAATTCTAATTCTAGAAAGGTATAATTCAAAAATTAATAAAGGCATGTGTGTTCTTGAAGTCAATCTGTTCTCTGTCATATACAAATGATCTTTTGTGAATGAAGGTCATTAAAAGGAATTATGTTGGGACGTCATGGCACTAAAGCAATGTTTTAAATCTCCTGTCAATCTCTGAAGTTTGGAACCCTTGACTAGTATATTTCTCCAGGGCTTAAACAATTAGAGATGTAGACAATTCAGTCTTGGAACATAGAAATGTGGAAATTTCTCAGAGCAAAAAGTTGATCTATTTGCCTCTATACACACACTCACACACACACACAAGAGAAAGTTGTATTGAAATCATACCTAATGTCAGCTCAGACTATAAAGGTATCATGCTAGAAATTGGGTATCCATAGAAAGCAGGAGGGGGGATTAATAAATGGACACTGAACAACACACTACCAAAACACTACATGAGTTAGTGGATAAATCAAAAATACCTGAGGCAACTTACTTCTATAAGCACACAAATTCCCAAACTTGTGGAGAAAGCAAAAGTACTGCTTAAGGAAATACATAGTCATACAGGCCTATGTCAAGAAACAAGAAAGAGATTAAATAGCCTTCTCATGCATCTTAAGGAATTAGAAAAAGTAGAATAATCAAGTCTGATAATCAGTTAAATAAATAGCAAAGCAGAAACAAATGACATAAAAATAAAAATAAATAAAAAACATCCAAAATATTGATGAAATCAAAACCTGGATCTTCAAAAGTATAGTAAGATACACTAACCTCTAGAAAGCTCACTCCAAATGTAACTGGGTGGTCCGTAGGAGAAGGGAAGTTCCAGGTTCCCTGCCCCACCCAGCAGGAGGGTGGAACTGAGCAGAAAAAAAGGAGAGAGAAGAAGAGAGAAGGCAGAAGGCAGATGGAGAAGGAGACCTAAGGAAGCCACATGGAGCAGCAAACATGTGACGAAGAAACCGGGCTTGTTTCCTGACCCTGGACTGGTTAAGGCAGATGTGGGTGAGATACCTGTAGGGAGGTGACTATGGCAGTGTTTATATTGATTTTGATTTTGCTCTTTTCCTCTCAGATTTGTCTGGCCATTTCTGACCCTTTTCCATGGGTCCCAGCCAGAAGGTGCTTTAGTCTTGTGGCAGGCTTTCAGGCCTTGCTTTGGGCCAATCCCTTTTGGGTTGACTTTTGCCCACGAGGGGATGGGTAACTTCAGGTGTTTGATTTAGAAGTTACATTCTTTGTGTTTCGTATTGTATATTCACTGTATTAAAGTCACTTTTCATTAAAGCTTTATATGTTTTGTCTTGTTGCGGCGGATGGCAGAACCCACTTCGAGCAGGCAGGTTTTGGAGACTTCAGGGGTGCCTCTCTCTGAATTGAGGTGCCCTATAACACAAATAGCCATGCCATTTGTGTCAAACTGAGTGGAGCAGGAAGAAATAACGCTGAGTGAAATAAGCCAGAAGGGGAAAGATAAAGACTGGCTAAAATCACTAGTACAGGGAATATAAAGAAACCAATTTAAGATTCAGATAAAGACAAGCTTAAAAACTGAAAGCTGAAATTTGACTAGAACTGAAGGATCCAGAATCCTCTCTGGTGGTGCAATGGGTTAAAGCACAGCACTATGTAGCTAGTGGCAGCCACCTCAGCAGAAGTTTGACCCTGTGTCAGGGGAGTGACCCACCTGGCACAACAGACTTCTCCTGGCCCGTGTGCTGCTCCCCTCAGCAGTGCACCTTATCAATCTGCCTGTTCTGCTCCCTGCTCTGTCTCTGGTGAATCCTCTCATGGCTCCTGCACCTCTAGCCTGCACTCCAGTACTGTATGCACAAATAAATAAATTAAAAAAAAAAAAGAAAGAAAGAAAAGAATGGACGGATCCAGAGTAGAAAGGAGAGGGGAAGGAGAAGGGAAGGTTGAAAACTAAAAAGGTGTAGGAATGCATGGGCTATGGTTACAGTCTGGCTTGATTTTTGGTAGGAACACCATGGTGGTTATACTTGATAAGGGTATCCTAATAGTACCTCCATTAAAAATATGGCCCTCCCTGGTGACACAGTGGGTTAAAAGCACAACACTAAGAAGCTAAAGCCATGAGTTCGATCCCCAGCCCAGGAGTTGATCCACATGGGGCAGGAAACCTCTCCTGACCCACCCGCTGCTCCCCTTGGCAATGTACTTCATTAATCTGCCTGTCCTGCTCCCCACTCTGTTTCTGGTGAATCCTCCCCTGCACTTCTGGCAGTACCCCAGTTCTGTATGCATAAATAAATAAATATATTTTTTAAATTGTTTGTTTAAAAATGTGATCCATAAAAATAAATTTATGTTAAACATGAAATAAAATAAGAAATAAGGAAATAAGCCATGTATCTCTGTAAGCAGCCTCTCTAGAAACTGCATGTGATTAAAATGCTGAGTCAATTGATTTACTTTTGTCTAAACTTATACATACACACACACACACAATTATTATTATTATTATTATTATGTAACAATGAATTTGTGTTGTGGCTCAGCTTTTTATTTTTAAATTGACACAGATGAAAAATGTGTTTCAGGGTGTCTTCACAGTTCTGATCAAACAGAAAATATCAGGATGATATGATAATCAAAGCTTCAAAAATGACAATAGGGTTTGAGTTCTAGTTCTCTTATTTGAGATCTGTTAACCTCAAACATGTCACTTAATATATGTGAACTTCAGTTTGGCAAGTATAAGAATTGCATCTGTTTCATTTTCATTTTGGAAGAAAGTGTAACATAAATGTGTTTAAGAGTGTTTTTATTATAAAGCTTAACTACTCTGCACCTATCATGTACAAATAGCTGTAGTAGGCATTTCCTGGGCTACCAAAAAATAATGGAGCTTTGGTCGCGGTCTTACAAGCACTAATGAGTATTTAAAAATACAGATTTCATTTTTGAGAAAAGTATAATGAGGTTGGCTTGAGAAGTTTAACAAATTTATAAACTCTGATCTCAAGGTAATGTTTAGCTACAGACATCTTCTCTGGTATGTTAAATGTATCATGAAAGTGAATAATTATCACAAAAATCAAAATTCCTATAGACTTTGAAAATGACTCTTCATATCCTAAAAGTGTTTATAAACATCTATAGTTCCTGAGCAAAGACTTTTTCCCTAGTTACAAAGAAAATCTAAAATTTATCTTTCTCACTTTGATATTGTAACAGATACAGGTTTCACGGACTCCGCCCCCACTAGATGCTGGAACTCCAAATCCCATCAGTACCAAGAAGAAGCACGCAGGGACGTGAGGGCGGAGCTGAGCAGCCAGGTGGGGATAAAACCAGACACGTGGGCTCTGGGGGTCTCTTGGCCTGGTGGTTCGCAGCTGATCATTTTGGTGCTCAATCGGTTTTCAGCGTGCCGGTGGAGTCCACGTCAGCAGAACTGGTAGGACATCCTAGTTAACCTGTGTTTCTCTCCCTCTTTCCCTGGGTTATCCCTTTACCTTTCTCCTTATAAATAAATCCATTATTTAATACGATTGAATTGTAAGCGCACGGGTGAAGACCCACAGACAGGCAACCCAATTCACATTGGGGTGCCCTGTAACAATATCAGTTACTGGGACTCACTGTGCTGAAACACAAACTCAGATCATCAACAGCTACCTTTGCAGGGTTTTAGCATTTATCAACCCTAACTTCGCTTGGGGTCATAGCCTGTACTTGCTTCCAGTGCCTGTATACTAAACTTCCCAAGCATACATTTATTAGAATTTATGTCAGAGATAGTGAGATTCTACAGAGAACATGAGATCAGCAACCCATCTAAGGATTTGTGCTGAATTTTGCCTCAGGATTGTTAATTGCTTAACTGGACTAAATCTCAAAATACTTTTTATCTAAAGAGAACTAGAACATTGTTTTGAACACAGAGTAGATAAGATAGCAGAGCTTTTACGGAATTTAAATTCATCTGCAGAATGAATTCATTCACTTTTTTTTTTTTAAAGATTTTTTTATTTATTCGTACAGAACTGGGGTACAGGCCAGAGATGCGGAGGGTGAGAGGGTTCACCAGAGACAGAGTGGGGAGCAGAACAGGCAGATCCACGAAGTACACTGCTGAGGGGAGCAGTGGGCGGGCCAGGAGAGGTCTGCCGCGCCATGTGGTCACCTCCGGGGCAGGCGGGGATCGAACTCATGCGGAAGTGGCTTTAGTTTCTTAGTGCAGTGCTTTAACCTGCTGTGCCACCAGGGAGGGCCCTCATTCACTTTTGAAAAGAAGATCATTCTAAGTTTATATGTTTACAAATTATAGATATGAAATATGAAGCATGAATTAATTTTCTTCTATTTTGTCACTGTTTTCTTCTGTAAAAATATGAGACAATGAACTAGAAAATATTTAAGTATTATAAGAGTTCTACAATGTACATGGATTGGACACATATATTAAAAAATAAATCTTAATTTCAAATCAAACTAAAGCAAAATATATTTAAGCTTAAATTCTAGTTATTAAAACATGGTTTTCACTTACTAAAACAAGTTTTCTAACCTGAAGAATATGACTTTAACTGCAAAATTAAACCTTCATGGAAACAGGGATAAATTGTGCATTATTTCCAAAATAACTTCCTTTATCTTCTATTTTCTGCATCTCTGTCTTGCAAGTGGGGGAAACAAGAATATTTTTGATATATGCATTCAGAGTATGCCTGAAAGAAGGGAGGAAAAAGATTTAAAATGTGAGTTAATAAATAAGCATTTTATAAAAATTTTAATTAAAATATGTAGGAGACAAGAAATGACAACTATATTTTAATATTGGTAGAAACTAATCTCTTAGAAATATTTAATAATAATGGACATTTATTGAATATGTATTTTAATTATGAACATTTTAATATCATGATAAGTCTTTGGGGTAGAACAATTTTTTTTCATTTATTTTTGAAGAAAAGTAAATGAGATGCCATATGATTTCACAGTTAAAGTATAATAAATTGAGTATTATCAATATTGAATCATTAATTTCAAATCATTTAAAAACTTAAAAGCATACTGCATATATATCAGACACTTGGAAATTATAGATGAATCAATTGTCTTACATTAACTGTAACTGGAGTAACTGAAAACTTAAAATGTTGGTATTGTTGGTACTTTTTTCCTTATAAAAGTATTGGCCTCTCCAAGTGCTTTCAAGCCAAGGATAATGCATACTTTTCTTCTTAATCTTTAACTCATCTTCAATAAGCTTAGAAACAATGATTTACAATTTTTTTTTTTTTTTATCAATCATGCTTTGGTGGAAATAGGACTCTGGTGAGTGCACCAAGAAAAGGAAAAAGAAAACTGTACACTATCAAAACACTAGCAAAGATGTAAAATATTTTAATAAAAAGTAAGAAGAAGAAATATCATGACAAGATGTTTTGTTGCTTCTACCAATTGTTTTACCCAGGAGGAAATCAATGTCAGTATGAATAACTTTTTTTTTTTTTTAGATTTATTTATTTGTGCATACAGAACTGGGGTACAGGCCAGAGGCTCAGGGGCGGCGAGAGGCTTCACCAGAGACAGAGCGGGGAACAGAACAGGCAGATCTACGAAGTACACTGCTGAGGGGATCAGCGGGCGGGCCAGGAGAGGTCTGTCACGCCATGTGGCCACCTCTGGGGCAGGCGGGAATCGAACTCATGCGGAACTGGATTAAGCTTCTTAGTGCTGAGCTTTAACCCGCTGCGCCACCAGGGAGGGACAATGTGAATAACTTTTATCTAATATGATTGTCATCTAGCTCAGAAACCTTTGACCCAGATAGAACAGAAACTACAGAATTGATGGAATTTTGAAGAAATGCTTTTGACAAATCGTTGTATCTCTTTTATCCTATATCTCCATTGCCTGTGACAAATGATCATTTTATACAGAAATATGCTGATGAGTGTCATAATTCCTAGAAGAATCATTTTAAGTTTCTCTTAGGTACATCTGAAGTTATGAAGTATAAGCACAAAAGCTTAGTTGACACAAAACCAAAGGACTTCGATGTATATGTGTATCATAATAGACAAAACATGCTATTAATGTTATTTAATAAATTTAAAAGTTGTAAATTATGGGAAAACGATGGAGTGAGAAGCATTATTTTTTTAAGTATTTTTATTTATTTATTTATTTATGCTTACAGGAACTGAGGTGTAGGCCAGAGGAGCAGGGATGAGAGGATCCACCAAAGATACAATGGGAAACAGAATAGGAAGATCCACTAACAGATACTGCTGAAAGGCATAATGGGTGAAACAAGGTAGGTCTTTTGCACCCTGTGGGGCAGTTGCTGGCCAGGAAATGAACTCATGCCTAAGTGGTTGCTGATAGCTTGAGAGTGCTGAGACTTAACCCCTTTTGCCACCACGTTGTCCCAGGAGAAGCATTGTTTATTGCTTCCCTCAAAATAAAAGATAACTTTTATTTATATCGCTAGGTCTTTTTCTTCCACACACACATGTGGACACACACACACACATTGATTTAACCTGTTAATTGCAATCTGATGTACCTAAATTTGATAACTACCAAAAACTTGAATTTAAGTTATTTCTTCAGCTGGAGTTAAAGATCAATTTTTCAAGTCTCTAACTCAGGTTCATCTGAAATACTTAAATTCTGTATTCTGTTAATGGACATCATTAACATTCTGAGATAAATTAATAATTCATGGAGTAGTAAATTTTATTTACTGGAGTTAATCAAACAGGACTAATTGTTAATTAACCTACATATTAACAGTTAATCTACTAACATTCATATCTGGCTCCTATCTTCCCCATGTCTATAACAGTTATAGCTTGATAGAACTACATCCCTAGAGCATATACTAAAGAAACTACCACTCAAAACATTAGTACATTGTTCTAATTTACTTATTGTTTTATTAACATTGCTGGATAAGACAGAGGCTTAGGTATTAATATATTGCAAAATATCATCTGCATCATTTCAGTTATAAAATTGCATTGAAATGAGTACAAATAATATATATTTCATAAAACATGATTCTTCAAAATCAGTATAAAATCTTTGTGTTTTAATTCCTTAAAATATCTCTTTTCTGGGCCCTCCCTGGTGGCGCAG